AATATTCAATAACCGATAAGTTAATGCATCGCATTAATTATTAATCACATTGTATAGAGATGTAAGTGTTTAAAACAATAAACCAATCTAAAATAAACTAATCACAAAGCTGTATTAGCATCTTAAGACATTATAACTTAAGACGGTCTTAATTGAAATGGAAAAAAAAACGGACTATGTATATACCGGCTGTAAAATCATCACGAGCGTCATGTGCCTTGCGGTTTTAGGGCTTCGCACGTTGGACTTACAGATGCGTGTCGGTTTGCTTAAGCACAGTTTGAATCTTGAAACAAATCTGGAATAGGTCTGCTCTTTTACCTGACAGCGTAGCTGCTTGCAGCGGAACTCTTGCGATTGACTGTGTCTGAGCTCTTGCAATTCTTGCGATCAGTGCTTGCGGCGGAATTATTGGGAATGGCTGCGGCGGAATTGCTGCGAACGGCTGCGGCGGAATTGGTGCGAACGGCAGCGGCGGAGCTATTGCGATCGGCAGCTGCGGCTGCATTTGCACCGACTGCAGTCCGGCGTAAAGTGCTAAGTCGCTCATTCTTCTGCTTGCGGCTTACCCTCGTCCCTCCTGTGAACAACGCAAACAAAACTGGCAGGGTCAATCAACAGGCTTCCGAACTGTGCAAGACTATTTCGAAAGTCGAGAATAGAAAGGGAAATAAAGTCGGAGACGAACGAAAAGTGGTCGTGTGTGTGTTAAGAATGTATAAGCAATATAAAAGGTATTAACAAAATAAATAAGAGTGAAAGATTTGATTTCTAATTCAGACTCTTCTTTCAGTTTGAGAAATACAGAATAAAAATTTAAATCATATGCCTATTAATTATTAATAATATAAACTATTACTATAATAAATAATAGCTAGAATTTTTAATCAATACATTTAAGTTAATTTATAATAAATAAAAGACAAATCCAGTGTGATCTTGGATGTTAATCAAAAAAAGTCTATACCGGAGCTTACTTTACCACTTTCCTTCTTCCAAGATTTTTGTCACGCATGATTCAGAAGAATCGTCGACACACGAAATTTTCAGAACTATCGCAATATAATCACGTTTTTTGTTTTGACTAGTGTTACGTCCAATCCCCGGGAAATGATTTATCGTTAGAGAAAGGAAAAATCAAAGAGAGTCCCGTTTAGAAACGAGGCTGGATCCGAGAAGGAGGGGAGTACGGAAGGACGTAAGCAGATAGCCTGTCTCGCAAATAGGCGCGGTGGCATATGTGCGAGTCGAAGGCGCTTTAACCGGGCTTGACAGACGAGTCAACGTCCTGAAGGAACGATATTACTCGATCTCAAGCCAGCGCGATCGTTGGTTCTGTTTTGGTCAAGGAACTTAATCCTTTTAACTCAGGATCGGACCTGTGCGATTTTCTGCAGGGAAGGAGGAAGTGAACGAGGGTGAAGTTCTTTAATGAATTATAGAGAGTTTAAGAATTAATTGATACGAACA